ATATTATCAAAACTGTGACATTAGTAATGTTCACAACAATAATCAAAGACCTATCTTCATTATTAAAAATGCAATAATAATATTTTACCCATTTTTCAACAATTATAAAGAAATTGACTCTCTGAATTACTTAATTGTCAGCAATGAGACAAATTTCGAATAGATAAATTCAAGAGGAAAATGAAAGAAAGGCTAGTGATAAAAACTTCTGTGAATATTGGATTACAAGTAGAAAACTATTCAAAGACTTATGAGTCCTTATACTTATCATCTAGGCACATCTTATTAAGTATATTTATATTGACTTATAGGACAAAATATCGCTAATTAATTACGGTACGGATCAAGATTTTAAACCGTGTTTAGTCCTGACTAATTATGGACAGTAGGCTTTAAAAAATAGATATTTGAAAAATTCAAATGAAGATTTGGAGAAGTGATATCAGTCAACGTATAAATAAAAATATCATTATAACCTCAATAAGCAACTGAGACGCAATTTTCTTAAAGAAACGTATATATTATAGAGGTAAGAATACTCTAATTATCAACTGAAATTTTCGAGAGAAAAGATAATCAATTTATCTTCGGTTCTCCATATGTTAACCTTGACTAATACTTTTAAATCGACATTTGTTATGAGAACATTTGTTCTGGTCCATAACAGAAAAGAGATGGCAACTGAGTCCAAAAACTGTTTTGAATGTAGTAATTCAGTTGGATTAATGCTGGTAAGTCTTTTTTAAAATTCAATAACATAAAAACATTAGTATTTATTTAATGATTACTTAATTTAATTTAATGATTAATATTATTATTTAAAGATAATGATTTAGAAAAAAACTGATTAACTTTAATAGAACAATTTTTTTTACTAGTAAAACAATTAGCTTGATCTTTATACTTTTATATATACATGCATATATATACATAAAGATCCGAATGCAGATCTGATTAGTATAGTATTTAAAGAGTGTATAGTATTTAGAAGCTGCTGGTTGAGATGGGTAGGACTCTGTCGCTGATGTTGAGCACAAATTTTTTTAAAATTAAATAAAAACCAATTTATTCAGAGTCTGTAGATTAAAAACTAATAGCATTGAAGCACTTACATCCAGTATTGCTAGGATCGATCAGATCTATAACTGATCTCAAAAAATTTAAGCTTTTGTATGAATTGGTTTGTAAATTTTTCTGTCAAACTATAGTAAATTCAGTTAAGTAATTGAAAGTGTTCTAATGAAAAAGATATTTAAAGTAGCAATAAGAAAACTAAGATATATGTGAAGACTCTGTGGCCGGTGAACTAATCACGCGCATTACTGAAAAAATCGTATGCAGTTCAACGTCACCTTAATAAGTGTGTAAAGTTAAACCAACCTTGCGTAATGAGTTAGTTAGACCAGGTAAGTCAGTAATTAAGATTTGTAAAACTAAGATATATGGGAAGATTTTGTGACCGGTAAACTGATCATGCACGTGACTGAAAAAATCATATACAGTTCAACTTCATATAAATGAGTGTGTTATTTTAGACCAACTTTGAGTTATGAGTTAATAAGACCAGTTAAATATATGCCAGGTTAATATATATAATTTCATTGCTTGACTATATCAATCTTCTCTATCAAATATTTAATTATTAATAAACATATTAGGTTTGTAGTTAATTTAAGAATAATTAGTTATTTATATTTAATAAATAATAAATTACAAATTAATAAATTATTATTTCCTTAACTTACCTTCAATGTTCATCGATTGTCTCCGTTTAGCTTGTAAAACTCCAACTAAACTTGATAGCATCTTATTTCGATGTGAAGCACTACGAATGCCTAATCTTTTGAGGTCATTATCGTTCAATTCTGATATATCTTCCACTCGATTATACATTTGTAAATTTGCTATATGTCATTGAAATATATTAAAAATTTAATATTAATTTAATTATGCACTGAGTAATTTTAATACTTTCGTATTGTTGCAAGTCCAAGAGATCCAACCAATTGGCAATGCTTAGCTTCGAATTGTAAACCATCATAGTGGGATGATCTTTGCGTCTCGAGGTTGGATAACGAAAATTCCATGATATACCTTTTAACATAGGCCATATTAATTATTTAAATTTTTTTTTTTTAAATTATTTATTAAATAATTTAATTTAAAATATAAATAAATAAAAGAATAATTTTTTTTTTTTGATTGTGTCAACTCACTGCCTCGGCGATGTGCCATGCCCTGGCATCGAATTGCCTGGTCTTACGTTGCCCATTTTGAGCTTCTTAAAATTCCAGTCACTTTTAAAAAGAATAATTTCTTTAAATTTTTAACAATTTAAAACGAATTTTTTAATAAAATTAATAATTATTTATAAATAAATCGAGCACTTCACGCTCACAAACTCGGGCATTGACTGAATGTCACTGCCGTAGATCAAGCCGACAACTACCGCAGCCGCGTAAGTTTTTGGTGATTTTCCTACTCTAGTCTGTTGTCTGTCGTCTGCGTCCGTCCTCTGTCGTGTAACATTCGCTCTACTGTGTTTTGTGTGACTTTTATCTTTATTGTATTTTTGTCGGTTTTTTATGTTGTCAGTTGAATTTGTTTTCATATTTTGTTATTGTTTTTTATCACAGATTAGAAGGTTTTTCGTTTTCTACGCTTCTGTCCAGTCATATATCGTATTTCGCTGATCGCAGCGGAATTTCCTTAATTAAGCCACACTGAGTACAATGTTGAATTCCGATATCACAAACAGTGGCACTCACTGTAACTATAATTATTTTTATTTATTCATTTATTTATTTATTTTCATTAAATTAATTTTGTTTTTCTTCTTTTTTTTTGTAATACTTTTTTAATTGCTTTTCACACATAATCATTTTGAGACTAGAGTATCAGGTGAATCTTCAGAGTGAGCTGGTCATGAACTTAGCGGAAATAGGTTCCATGCCCAATGGGAAACATATAGACAAGATCTGCCCAGAAATGAAATAATAACAGTTCACATACAGACTAAAAATAAATAATTTGTCAAATTGCAAAGAGATCATCTTTAGTAAATTAAACAGTTCATCTATATTCCACATATCTAAAAGTGAAAACTTAAAATTCTGGAATGGATATACTAATGGATCTTATTAATAATCAAAAGAAGAACAGACCTGATATAATGAACACATACATATATGTGTACAAATGTAATATATGTGTATAAATGTAATTTATAATGTCTTAAAAAACTTATCCTATGTGTATAAATGTAATATAACATATATACATCTACGTAAAGTCTTCAAAAACCTATCTGAAATATATCAAATTGGCACGATTTATTAGGTCAACTTGGAAAGCAGAGAAAAAGTGGTTTGGCTAAATAAACAAAGTAGTTCTTATTTGCAAATACCGTTAACATTCTGGAGAAATATTGTTTCTTCAAAAACCTATCTGAAATATATCAAATTGGCACGATTTATTAGCACAACTTGGAAAGCAGAGAAAAAGTAGTTTGGTTAGATAAACAAAGTAGTTCTTATTTGCAAATATCGTGAACATTCTAGAGAAATAATGTTTGATGATTGATGAAGATCTTTGGTTCTCTATGAGTTGGCAACGACTATCGTACGACCTTTATCGCGACATTGATATAATTCAGCGAATTAATATCCAGTGGCTTCGATTCATGTCGTGAGAATGGATGAAGATACTCCAGCGAAAAGAGTGTTTCAAGTAGTTGTTGGAGGAAGAAGGCTTAGACCTTATCTCCGGTAGAGTGATCAAGTTGTGGGAACACTAACCGGATTTGATGTACGAAACTGAAGAAATGTAATAGCAAACGATGTCGCTGCAAGACATCGCGCCAGGAATCATGTGTAATACCCGATTAATGGCCAAAATATCGACAATGTCAAACAAATTCTTTTGCAGCAACCGCTGTGTATCTAATCGAAGAAAATACTGAGACATCATAAAGTAGAGGACAGATAATCAAAAAGACTGGGGAAATTCTTCAAGAGTGTCAGCCATTTCAACTATTGATAAAACTTAGTATTTCATTTACTTGAATCATTTAATCATTTAAAGATTTAAATAAAAAAAGACATCATTTTTATTGATTATTCAGCGTATTTAATTAATTTGAATACGTGTGATTTATATATATAACTGATATGATAAGCGGAGTTTCCCCCAATTTGAACAAAATCTTTTTTATATCTAGCACTGTATTAACTCGGAAAGACCTATTTTAAATAAACAAGAATAAAACACCAACATAGCAATTTTTCAGCATAGCAATATTCGTTATTTTCTATAGGGACTAATGCAATTCTCTCGATTATATGTCCGAAGTATCAAGATTATTGCGAAATTAAGTTTTATATTCAATTCTAGCAATAGAGAAAACTTATATCTATTTTTCGAATGCTGTAGTAGCTAAAGGACAAAGTCGACCAATTTCGCTAGTTTAAAATTTTTTTTATTTTGTTTTACAAGTTTTTATTTAAAAGTTTTTATTTCTATATCTCATATATTTAAATATTTAAACAAATAGATTGCCATTGTCGCACACACAAAGAAGCAGATCTGATTCAATTTACTTTCCTGAACTGATTGGAAAAACAGACTTTATTGGGTCTCCGGTGGTTCTTCCACAAAGCAAATGCAAATTCAATATGTATGTTGAGGAAGTAGAACCAATTGTTCGTGACTTTACGTGAGCTAACTACAACTTAAAAATATGACTCAAGTGGTGGTTCCAATTAATAAATTATAAATTGAATATTTATTTCTGATGTCGCGTGTAGAAACCATATGTACTACTGCCACTATTAATTTCGTGAGTCTAATCATTAAAAAACAGTAATTTGTCACTAATTTAATTTTATTTCAGAAAAATATTCTTCTTTGCGATCTTTTTTCTTTTGCATACATTCGAATCACTCATCATAGCTTTTTTCCATTCCGTTCAAGATGCCTTCAAAACAAAAACATATTTATTGTAGTCATCAAAAATTTTATTCCGCCGACATGTTGGAGCAAGACGAAGTCATTACCAGTAAAATCAAACTATAAATGGCGGATCATCCATTAAATCGATGTTTTCGATGCTCAAAAAGTTACATATTAGACACGATATGGTATAATGTACTACTAAGCATTGACCGCATTATCATTGTGTTGCTTTAATAATGTTCTTGGTGTATAACAACTTTTTTCTAGAAAAGAAGAAATTATTTACTTCTTTTTGTGACCGACGTGACCAAAAACAAGCTCGTATTCATTTTGAAACACCTATAAAAAGTATAAAGTTATCTTACGTGGTTACAAAGCAAAACCCATTATAAGATATGGCCCAACCTTAGATGCCACAAGTATCGCACTCTTGGATGCACGCTTTAAAACCATGGCAATTGTCTTTTCTGAACATTTCTTTCTCAACATTAGCACCGTACTGAGCTTTTACTCTTAAATTTTATGAGCTTTAACGAGTCCAATTAATTATCACATATATATGTTTTGATGTACGATGGTGCAGCTAATGTCTAAGATTGACTCAATCTTATATGGTTATATCAGCATTATAATTTCTACAGCATTTATGTTTTCTAGTATAACTGATATTGTGTAGCTTTGACGTAATTTGTCCTTCATCGATTTACGTCAGCAATCGATCCTGCTATAACAGCATTTCACACTTAGAAAAGACGGGGTTTCATTTTCTAAAAGAGTAAATAAGTTTATGGATGCATTTATGTCTGGTTAATCATTCTTGAAATCTATAATTAATTGTAGGAAACAACCTAGTCATACAAGTTTGTATTTTTTTGCTAAAACGAGTATATAACATCCAAGTTATTGTAAGCAATATAAATCGGGCTCAAATGATAAAACCAATTTAATAAGACAGTGATTAATGACGTCAACATCCGAAGGGAATATCAGTACCTAACAATACTTGGGTTGTCAACGTTTATCAAATAAATAGTGGTCCTTATAACCTTACCTCGAATCAGAGATAACTACAACACGAACTACCATTGACTCTCGGATATTACTTATAATGTAATGTCAAATTGGTCATTCGAGGCCAACAATTCGATGCTAAAAATCTATTTTAAATCAAGTTATAACTTAATTATTCGAACAAATATAGAGAAAAATTTAAAATGTATATTTGTGTGATTTGTAAGAAATAGAAAATATATATTAAAAATAAAAAAAAGGTAACTAGATGTTTGTTTTTATTTTTTATTTAAAAGTTTTATAATTAAAAAAAAACATTGTACCCAACGTTTCGATGTATTTACCACTCCATCATTGAGTGTATTTGTTTAATACTCTATTTTTGCCGAAGAGACTAATATTGCATTACAGCGCATTGGCCAAAGGAATTCTAGTAACAAAACAATGCCCATGAATTGTTTTGTGAATAGAAGAAGAGGCTCCGACGCCACTAAGAGTAACTAACCTCTATAAGATGACATAAGGAGTCGATAACATTTCGTAAAGGTATAATAGGGTTTTGAGAAAGATTCCTTAGCTAAAATCAAATCAGGATAAATGTTGTCAGAGTGATGAAAGTCGAGATGGGGCTGTATAGCCGGTATCGCCGGGCAAGTCACAAAAGATACTCATCAATGGAAATAACTTAAACGAAGAAATTGGAGATGTGTTTGTAATTTAACCTTGCGATTATTAACAATATAGTCCTGAATGACCTTGCGTTCAAAAAAGTGTAACAGCGATCATTTCTAATCATAGAGGTATAAGGTAGGTGTACCTTGATAAAGGTATGCCGACTATCTAACCCGTTAACTGGAAATTAAAAGTTAGATAAGTTCTTCATACGGAAGTCACTATTTACGATTTGAGTCTTGGCGACACTGATTGTTGTCAGGTGTCATCTGACGTTTCTATAAACGAAAGTTTGACATTATTAAACATAACCTACCTTAGACTTTTTCTAGAAAATATTTTAATTTTGAAGATACTTATTAGATTAGATTTTTTGGGCGATTAGAAAGTTGAACTTGAGAGATCAATGTTCTGTAAGGTGTTAGAATAGATGTAAAGAAATATGTTTTAAAAAACTTTATTTTTTGTCATTTTATTTGATAAATTTTTTATACCGAGAATAGTTCTAGTGGAACCTAACAAGGAAATGTTCCATTACTTCTAATAAAAGCTTACATAAACTTATATCAAACACAAAAATCACATGTTTATTTGATTAATCTATTTAATTTATTTAACTATTGATCCATAAAAACAATATTATTAACTGAATTATTTTAATAAAATAAATAGGCCTCCATTTCAATCGTCAGCTGAAAATTAAAAATTTTCAGAAATTTTA